GCCAGAGTATCAAACTCTAAAATGTACCATTTCTTTTTTAACTTTTTAATGGCATGATATAGTGACACGATAATATTTACATATGTTTAAAGCATAACTCTGAATGTATTAATGAGATATTAATGCATTGGGTCTTTTTAATTTTTTAATAAAAAATAATACTAATATTTTTTGTCCGCTGTGACGGAGCATTTTCACAGTTCACATTTGCAACTGCTCCGTCACAGCGGACAAAAAAATTAAACATTATTTTTTATAAAAGAATTTAAAAGACCAAATACATCAACATCTCGTTTATACCTTCATAGTTATGCTAAGACCATGTGTAAATATTATCGTGTCACTATATCGTGCCATTAGAAAGTTAAACAAGAAATGGTACATTTTGAAGTATGATACTCCGGCGCCATTTTCAATAGCTTTTCTTCCCAGCGTAATTGGACTTCAAACAGAAGTGAAAGTTACCCGCAAATGATATATCCATTGCATGGAGTAAGTAATTTTGTATGGTATAACGAAACATATGAGTTAAAAAATAAATCGTGAAGTATTCTTAGTGTTTTTATGAAAAATAGCATGCTCCGTCACAGCGGACAAATATTTCGATACCAGCCTGTGCTAATACACACATACAATGCATAATTCTAGAAATGTACACAGACAGAGTTATACAATGAGCAGTAATCTTATAACATGTTTTCAATTAGGAGAGAAGTCGTTGAGATGTAAATATATTTCAAGATATCGAACCAACTGAATGTAGTGCTAAGGAGAGCTGGTTCATCAATATGATAAGATTCTTTATCACATTAGTCGCAAGTTAACAATTTACGGATCTACACCTTCGAGATAAGACACTTTTTATAATTATGTACAGTACAGCCAATGCGAAAATAAATCACGCACACGTATTAGTTAAAAATAGTTAGAAAAAGAACATTAAAAAGAACAGGTGTTCACCAAAACACGACCCCCCCCCCCTCCTAAAACTATGATTTGATATCCATAGGAACAAGATCAAGATCAGAATGCATAAACTTTCAATCCCAAACCAATCGATTATAATCACAAGTGAGTTTGCATTCCCCCCCCCCACTCAAACTTGATATACAAGCAAAAACTTTCAATAATAAGCAAATATTTCATTCTATGGAGGGCAATACCTGTTCTTATTATATCACTATCTAGCTAGCGACAGTATGATTGGTCAAAACCGGGTCACATGTCGTGGGATATCTGGCGATATTCAATGGCAATGCTAATCAGATAAGACAACCGTGAGATATCTAGCGATATCCCACGCTCCCGGGAATTTTCAAAGAATTTGTTTTCGTTCAGTGTAAATAATTTAGTTCAGTGTAAGTCAAAATGGCAGACGAACCGAGTAGATTCAATGTATTTCAATGTTATATGACTTAATAATATTAGGGATGTTTAGCTAGACAGTGATATAATAAAACAAATAGTTCACTCTATTTTCGGTGAATACCTGTAGCACTTTCACAAGGTGATATTCCACTTGCCCTTCGGGCTTCGTGGAATATCACTTGTAAAAGATGTGACTTCCGTTGAATATTAAGCAATTCAAAAACTTTCAATAATAAGCAAATATTTCATTGAGGGAAATACCTGTTCATCTTTCAATGATGTTTGCAGTATGTATTACCCGCATGTCACGTGACTTCCGTTGAATATTAAGCAAATATTTTATTCTATGGAGGGCAATACCTGTTCATCTTTCAATGATGTTTGCAGTATGTATTACCCGCATGTCACGTGACTTCCGTTTAATATTAAGCAAATATTTTATTCTATGGAAGGCAATACCTGTCCATCTTTCAATGATGTTTGCAGTATGTATTACCCGCATGTCACGTGACTTCCGTTGAATATTAAGCAACTATTTTATTCTATGGAGGGCAATACCTGTCCATCTTTCAATGATTTTTGCAGTATGTATTGCTTGCATGTCACGTGACTTCCGTTGAATAAGCAAATATTTCATTCTATGGAGGGCAATACCTGTTCATCTTTCAATGATTTTTGCAATATACATTGCCCGTAGCCCATAGAGCTAGGGAAATGCACACTGCAAAAATCATCGAAAGGTGAACAGGTCTCCATAGAATATAATATTTGCTTATTACCACATTAAGAAAATAACATATCTGCAAGTTTGTACGAAACCAAATCTGTCAAGTATTGATGAAATTCTCCTTTATCAACCTACCTTTCATTCATAAACAAAAGCTGCGATTACAAGTTCTATGGTTCTGTCGAGGTGTATTTATATCGCAACATTAAGATATTGGTAATCATTTAGCAACTTGCAGATCAACACATGGGATTCTGTATCCCTTAATGTTTTTAATTAGGTCAATTGGATGCATTACGAGCCTCCAGAGGTTTAGAAAGACACGATCTTATTATCCACATCGTCATGAAATCGACTAAGGCTACATGGGCTTGTATTTTGATCGTTACTGAGAAACACACCCTTCGCCAAAATTGAAATATTCACGTCTTTTTTGTTATCTGGAAAATAAGTTATTATAGAAAATTAACACCAGTGGATCAAGTTAGGGGAATTTAGAGGATTGGTCAAACAGGGAATGAAGCAAGACATTTAGGGAGCTGTTTATCAAATATATCAAAGCACGAGTTCGGATTTCACTTCCATTCACATAAATATAAAGTTTTTTATGTGAATGTTAATAAATGGATGTGAATGACTAGCGTATTTTTCAACTCCTTATATTTTAAATTTTAATGATATATGCATTACATTGAAATAATACAATTGCCACATTACCAGAAAATAACGTGTCTATTTTGCTTAATATATGTACCATTCGGTTAAAGATGCTACTCGGCCAGCTACTGTATTTTGAAGTTGTATATTCTTTAAATTATCGAGGATTAATTTATGAAACCCGATTCGGACTGCTCTACAACTCATATAACAGCCTTTTCTCTTTTCGTTATCGACCTTAATAACCCCAGGCGAGTCTTACTCATTGTAGTAATTACAAGAAAATGATCGAATAACTTGAACATTTCTGTCATAAATAATAAATGAGATCTCTCTCTAAACAATAGTAATGGTCTTAAATAAATCATTACATATGTACTTGCCTTTTCAAACTACTGGACTACTAGAGTAGACTTCCTCACGCTTTTCATACTGAACTAATTCAACTACACCTCCAAAGTTAATAACCATTTGTGAATAACATGTAATGGCAAGGGAGACCTTATAAATGGAAATAAATATAAGAAAATATAGGGAATTTAAATTTTGTGTGCACTGAACAGTTTGTAAAGGAAACCCTTCCAAAACATCATCGAAAATAATTTCGGTCTGGTACTTTGAGGTTAGCCCTAGAGACACGTCGCTTTAATAACATCCCATGACACAACATGAAATGTATTTTGTGTGATAGTGTTCAAGTAGAAGATGAAGAACATTTTCTTTTAGATATCAGAAATAACCTATTTTCATATTTCAGAGATTCAGTAGATAATTTTAGTGTTGATAATATTACACTCCAATTTATAATGCCATGAAAATCGAGTAAAGGGAAAGGAGCACGTAGGTTATCGCAAACAATTTCAGAAGGTTATATCTTGGATTATGACTATTTTCTGACAATGAAGAGAGGTTTATCTTTTAGATAAATTCATTATCTCAAATAAAATTATATACAGTAATAATAGGGTCAAACAAACTCGGAGATATTTAACTAGCGATCAACCCATCAACACACTTTTTCAAAGATGTTGACCCCATTTTCACCAAAAATGCAATCAGTTTTTACAATGTTTAATGCATTACTATTCTTTATTTTGATGTATCAAATAGTTCTTGAAAGAAAAACTTAATTGCTTTAAGATAAGTGTTCCCCATGTTATTTTTCCATTGAAAAATCTCATTTAATTTAATTTAATTATTTATTTACCTGTATTTAAACAGAGTGGTTTTACAAACATATTTACATTTGGTAACATCACACAATTAAATAAAAAGCTTCCATTTTAAATGGATGAATACTGCTTATGTTTTATATGACATTGGTTCTTTCAAGAGTGTCTTTATTATGTAATAATCAACTGTCCAACGTATTCTTTCAGAATGTTTGATCTAACAATAGTCATTTTATGCACTATACATGCAATACTTATCATATCATCGTCATCAATTTCACACTCGGGATATGCAAATATCTTATCTAGTTCTTTAAAAGCACCGTATTTTCTTGTAATTAAACCTATTTGGTTACGATGTTCTTGCCATTTTGGACATCTCATGATAAAGTGATCAATTGTTTCTGTTTCGAACCTGTTACAGACAATACAAATACTATTTACACCTGAATTTTTTACGCGTAGATCGTGACAATCAGTGGATGCTATCCATTGGTTTCAGTTCATTTTGGTCATCCAAATTCAGTATCTTTAAACATGTCTCAAAGCACATTCTAATTATGCATTCAACAATATAATAAAAAGTTGCATTTTTGTGAAAATTAGGTCAACATTCTTGAAAAAGTATGTTGATTGGTCCATTGCCCCTTCAATATCACATAGGTCTGATTAACTAAATGGTCATTATATATACTTTTCTTGAAGATAATGCATGTTTCTAAAAGATATACCCATGTTCATGATCAGAAAATATTCATAATTCAAGTTAGAATGGTTTGAAATTGTTTGCGATAACCTACGTGCTCCTTTGTTTATTCTTTATATAAAGTGTTTCAAAATAGAGTATTTAATCTATAACAGCTTTAATTAATATTGATGCTATTTATAATGTATTTATATAAGCGTCTCATAAGCCGGCATCGGCTAGATGTTTTTACTGTATTTTAGTATTGTATTTTATTGTATATTTATGAACCTGCAACAGCTACTACAGCTTCAGACCCCATAATTATGTTGTAAATTATAAAGAACTTAAAATACATTTAATTATGAATGTTCTTTTCTGTGTGTTCCAGCCAAATTAACAGAAGCCTTAATTCAGAACATCTACACTAAGTTTGACAAAGATGGAGACGGTGAAATCACAATGTCCGAAGTCAGCGCTGTGTTCAATGCGTTCGATGCCGATGGTAAATACAGCTTTAGGCTTAGTATTTTTTTTATTATGTCTTAAATCAGCGCTGTGTACAATTCGTTTTGACGAAAAAGTTTAACATGCACAGAAGTCCCATTTTCGTAATGTCATATTGACTGTTTAGACCAATTCATTATCTTCAAGAAAAGTTAAGTGTATCATATAATGATAATTAAGTTAATCAAACTAAGTTATATTAAAGGGGACACGAACCAATCGACATCATGCTTTTTCAAAATGTTGACCTAATTTTCACTAAAAATGCAAGCTTTTATTATTATTATAATGTTGAATGCACAATTGGAATGTTTGAGACAAGTGCTATATCCTAAAAGGAAAATTGGATTCCTCCAGGGATTTTAAGGATACTGGATTTTGGTGACTAAAATGGGCTGAAAGCAATGGATGGCATGAGTCTTTTTCAAAAGGGAAATAACATTGGAAATACTAATCTTAGAAAAATTCAGTTTTTCTTTCAAGAACTACTAGTATTTGACACATCGATCATAATAAGGAATAGTAATGCATTAAACATTGAAAAAAATGATTGCAGTATTTGGTGAAAATGGGGTCAATATCTTTGAAAAAGTCGAGATGGGTTGGTTGCTAGCTGAATATCTCTGAGTGCGATTGAGTTTATTATCATTAAATATAATTTTCTTTGAGATGATGAATGGATCTAATAGATATACTTGTTTTCAGAGACAGAAAATAGTCATAATTCAAGATATATCCATCTGAAACTGTTTTCGATAACCTACCTAAACCGTAACTGATTTAGCTTTGTATGAAACTAATTCAATACAAATGGGTGATGATACTTACTGACATTCACCAGTGATAAAACTTACTTAATGAAGATCTGCAATGCATTCTTTCAATGCATTATTCCTCGATTGTATGTCGGGGTTTGTATTAGTTTCATCTCTGCCGAAGATATAATATGAGCAAATATACATTCAGTTTCCCAACACATTTAAAAACGCATATACACTCCCCTTCATATGTTTGGCAGCCGGAGGTCTTCATTTTAAAGGGTTTTAGCAAGTTATTAAAAAGGGAATTTTGGTTGCAAAACTTATCGAGGGGAGTGTACATGCGTGTTGCATGTGTTGCGAAACTTATAAATGGGGGCTTGTCAGATGATGTGTACAGTATGATTCCGACTACTCTAACGCGTTGGAAGCCACCCGTCAGACATGACATCAATTATAGTTCTTACCAATGATGTTATTTTTCATTTTCTGAAGAAATTGAGATATATAATGAAATAAAAAAGTAATTGAAGATTTTATTACGAATTCCATTACGTTGAATGGTCAAGTTAATGAACCCATTTTCAAAATATTATTAAATATTATTATAAAGTAGCCTAATCATATATTAACAGAACAAAATAAAACATTAATTAACATATAATATAAAGCTATTTGGATAAAACAGTCTCATCTATATGATAATATAATTATACATATAATATCAAGCTATCGCGATGAAAATATCTACTGATAATTGAATTATTCCTAATATTGTGATCGAAAAATCGACTATGATAATCTAATTTTACGTATAATATTATTCAAACACTTATCTCGTGTGAAAGCAAATGGAGTGAAGGATTTCTATTTGATCTTCTTACATATTAATAAACCAATATACTTTACTTCTAGCTACTTTATATCATAACGTTCATTAAATAGATTATCAACTTTAAAGGCGTCTATTTGATCTTGAATTTCATTTGATTTTGAGGCTGTTATAGCAAGGCAACTTAAAACCCGGCACGTTCGCAAATTGGCGTTCGGTTTTTTACCGCATTTGATTTTGAGGTTAAAGACGTTCGCGAAGCCTGTATATTCATCTGCTACATCAGTCTGTCGGCCGACGTTATAAACCCATTGTTGTTTACCGGTTTTTAAAAAAAAGTGCGTAGTAATAATTTCGGCATTTTCGAACTACTTGTTTACGCTCGATTGGGCATGGTTTTTAACGAGTTGTTAAGCAATCAAGATGTTACTTTAATAAAATAAAAATAGTATGCCTATAATAATTAGTACCTCCTCTTTCTAATGGTGTATTTTTCAACTGCCCGAAACCACGGGAAATGGGTATAAAATGCGTTGGAAAAGGGGCTACTTTTAACATTTTTGAACTTCGACTTTGTCTGATTAATTCATAGAATAATTTATTTTTATGATTTATTTTAGATCGTACAAAAGTTGAATAATGTATCGAAAATCATGCTCATGGAAAAATTATTTAGATTTACTTTAAATCCAACGATCGTTACAGTTTTTACTAAACCTCAAACTTAAAACGGCTCATTTTTTTACACAAATAACGTGTTTGACGACACAAATCACGGGTCTTGCTGTAGTTTCTCTCTCTAAAGTTTAGGCATTTCGCACACCAAATAAATATTGTTATATAAAATTATGTATCACCCATTATTCGCGGAATGTATTTAATTTCATGTATACGAAATATTTATCTGATCCACTAACGATTGAGTATTCATTTTTTAATTTAAAAATACGAAAACTGCTAAAACGGGGCTAATATTGGGACAAAAATAACGTGTGACGTAATTATTTCTTAAATCATGCATTTTCGTCAAAGAAATCTGGAATTAAATTTAAGGATGAATATTTAATGCAAAATATATATAAGACGACCACAGCGTGAGCAATATATCGAATTTTAGGCACACAAAAAACAAGAATGATTCAATTAAACATGAAAAATTGTTACAGTTTTTACTATAATGAAAACTCTAAAATGGCGTCATTTTAGCCCAAAATCCAAGTTGACGACATAAATAGTTCATGAATGTATTTCAGTTGACATCAAGCTTGAACATGAAATTCGCCCATTGAAATTCCAAATAAAACGATCGAAATGACATAAGTCTCGTAAAGGCGTATTGTATAATGTGTACGCCAAATATCAAGTTATGAAATTGAAAAATCAATCTACAATGAGACACTTTGAAAATAGTATTAGGGTTTAAAGATACGGACACTTTTGAACAATTAATCTATTCTAAAGACGGATCGTTTTCATTTCTTAAAGAAGAATGTTCGAAATTCGAATTCAAGATGCCCATTTTGTGTAGAAAATATGTTTTCATCCGATTACATTACACATGTTCCAAATAACAGCTAAGAGAAAAGGCGTTGTGATTGGATGAAGTAGATGGATTTGGTACATTTGTTTCCACTATGGGCGCATTTAAAACGGCGCCATATTTTACGGCACAATTTCCGCTGGCCTGCGAATCTTTTTTAGCGCGTCATTCCAATCGGAATGATGATTACATGTGTAAATTCCGTATTTTTAGAATAGACAAGAGTGTAATTTTTTCCTCTTTCAGTTAAAATATTCTCATTTATGATATGGAATAGTTCAAACCTCACGTACTATGGTACTAAACACGTAATATGGACATTAAACTCACGAACACGTACTGTGCTCCAATTTTGACTGATTTATGTAAATCCGAGAGAATCGTCTTAGCTTCTTCTGCGCGCTGTAAATGAATTTTTATACTAGTCTACATAATATTTTTCTTAATTGTTTCTCATTGAATTCGAAGTCATATAATAGAAACAAAATCGTATTTCAAATATTTTCCAGCTGTGCACCAAACACCCACCAAATTAGATCATTATGTAAATGTTTGGGAGGAAAAAGAACAGTACTCTATGGCTCAAATGACATTTAGATAACTTAGGCTGTCATGATGCATGTCCATTTTTGTGATATATTTGTCATGATCACTCTGTACTGAACTCAATAAGGAACTAGAAAATGGCAACTCCACGGAGTAGCAAATCCCAACGAACACTATATAAATCATCAATCTGTACAGTCACAAAGTAATATTTACCATCTACTCTTACCTTCAATAAATATATTAAATCATTGTAGCATCATGTAAATCTAAGAAATGGCGAATTTCTGCTCTAGTCAGCCATTTTGAATTTTCAAAGACGTAAATCAGAAAAACAATGCCATAGTTGTGATCTACTCTGAAATACCTTTAATTTGAGTAAATATAGCCATACTTTTAAGAGATCAGAAAATAATTGCGAAATCCCGCATTAGGCGGCCATTTTGAATTTTTTGAGGCCCGAATCAGAAAAACGCTACAATATTTACAATCTACTCTAAATTGCCTTTCATTTGAGTATAATAAAGCTATACTTCAAAAACATCTCAAAATTAACGCAAATTCCTGTTTTCTCAACCCCCCCCCCCATTTACTATTTACGGCCCCTGGGGGTCAGGGTGAAAAACTGGGGATATATATGTGAAATAGACAGATGTTGTTAATATACTAACAAAATTTCAAATAATAATATTTATTATTTTTGTTTAAAATGAAAAACATAAGATTTTTGTGAAAAATTCCCGGCATTTTCAAACTGGCGGCCATCTTGAAAAAAAAATTGCGTAAAACTATTCACCAATATACATCTTTCCACCAAATATGAAGAAAATCTGTTGACTAGTATTCGAGTTATCTTCCGGACATACGGACGAATTCAAGTTCCAACATGAATACTAGGATAAGTTCTCTTGGCCTCCAGAGTGACTGACGGACAGACGGAGGGCTTCACTATATCCCTACAGCCTACAGAACTTCGTTCGTTGGGATAATAAAGATACAATAAGTATAGTAACATATACGTATTTACATTGCTTTATTTCTTTTGGTGTAGGTCATACTGATATAGGCCTAGGCCTACAACATACAACTTAATTGCAATACAATAGGAAATATGTCACAACTACTTAACTCTATGATTATAGCATTTAAAGCATTAATACAGAGTGAAATTTAAAACATGATATCATGTTGTGTTGCATAAATCATTAATTCAGGATCGGCAAGCAAATTTAGTTCTGTCATTTATTCAATTAAATTTATTTCATAATTCTTATTTAATAATATTTTAGTAATACTACTTGTTTAATCTTATTTTATCTAAT